TATCCCCCATGAAGAGAGTTACGAAGAGACATCCCCCAGTCCCTGACGGCCCTGCTATTCCTAGCACGGTGGCGACCATGGTAATGGCGGGAAAGAGGGTGCTAAGAATTTGCGGTGGAGGTTCGGTTTCCACCTAGGACTCAATCTGGCAACATATAGCGCACGCACCCAGAGAACTGACGAGAAAATCCTGGAGCTGGAAGAATAGAAAGACATGTTGCGCTGGAATATTAAACAATCATTAGAAGTGTGAAGAGAGGGGGAGAACACGATAATTCTCGAATCTGGCAACTTGTTTTATCACCCAAGGGCTACCAATCTGTTCCAATGAGGTGTCGGATTTATCATCCACAAGTCTCTCGTAAACAGCGTTATAATGTGTCGGCGAGGCTTGCGTACCTTGTACTCAGAATCACTAAACGGTTTTCACTGAAGGTCATACAGGTTTACGCACCAACCACGGCACATCTCGATGTGGAGGTGGAGGAAATGTATGAGAATATATCTAGAGCCATGCATTCCTCCAAAACCCACTATACGATGTAATAGGAGACTTCAACATAAAACTAGTCACAAGAGAGAATGGTGAGCTGAAGGTAGGGAAATTCGGGTTAGGGCAACGGAACCCAAGGAACCAGCTGCTGGCCGACTTCATGGAGAAAGAGGGACTCATTTACGATTGAACTTGAGGTTGTGCTTAAAAAAGTTAACGTTTACTTTAGCTTTAATTACTATCCATAATTTTAGCGCTTTTAATAAAAAAATATTTAAGATAAATTAAAAAAAATATTTCTCATACTAGTAAATACACACACAACAAAAACAGATCATATTTTACGGTTTTCATCACAGGAATTGTTATGAGACATCATCGACCGCTTTATTTTACCTACTACGACTTTTTATTCTTCTTGTGTAATTTGAATTTGCATTTTACGAATTTAAATTACACAAGCACAAAAAGCCGGACCTAATGCGAGAATCGACCACGCGATAATTAGTGCACAATCACTTATAAACTTTTCTACTCCAAAGTTTATCAATTATTCAATTCGATACCACTTTTACTTACTGATTCCTTGTGACTGCCCAGTTCATCTAGTGGTTGTAAACAGCTTGTCGTTCACTGGATGGAGCGCGTGCTATATAAGAACATTATTTCGTAATATGTCGCATTTTAGACTAAAATATATTATAGCAGTAACGAAAAATCATTGAACACTGCTTTACAGGTTTACGATTGTCTATAGTCAATGTAAACATTATTTAACCTTAATGTAAATTATAATTATAAATCAATTAAAGGCTTATTTAAAAGTTTCACTATTATCTTCACTTTTGTCTCTATATTTTATTTACATTTAAAAGCATTAGTTTGGTTACTTTTGTGACAGACAACTGTGTCCTTTGATCACTTATGAATGTACAGGATACACTAACTAAACAACGTCTAACACTAAAGTAGGTTGCGCACGATGAATAGCGTACTACTAGATCACGTCACACGTTTTAAGTCGCGTCACACACGTCCCCTCCTAACAGCGCTGCTGCTTAAACTAGTTGCTGTTGCTGCTAGACATTAATAGCGCCAAAGCGCCATAGCGCCATGGCGGCTACTTATATAGCACGCGCTATGGAGAGATAACGCGCTGTACGCTATGCGCTATATTAACCCACATTCTTACGAATCATTCGGGTCGATCATTCAAATGGATCTTTTTGAGTATCAATACTCTGTGATCTGTGAGACCTGCTCGATAATGTCGCTGTGACATTTCAATACTCAAAAAATGTAATTTACAACCATCAACACTTTGAATGATACATTCATTTGACCCGGGTCAATTGAATATCATTCACGATTAACATAAGTCATTGCGTGTATTACTCCCTGTCACGTCAGACAGATTTAAGTTGCGCTACAATCATATTATTTCTAATTATGTCGTATAAAATAGAATATGTAAATTTTTTTTTAAATAATAAAATAAATATCGCAACGGCCGTGTGCCCGAAGAAGCATAAAAGCAAGTTGAATGCAGTGGAGACGCGATCTCTTCGTAAAATGTGCGGCGTTACCATAGCCGACCGAAAGCGAAACGAAGAGATTCGCAATATGGCAGGATTGAAAGATGACCTTATCACAAAAATTGATAGGGGCGTACTCCGATGGTTTGGGCACGTTGAGCGAATGAGTGAAGACCGAATGGTGAAGAAAATATATAGAGCGAAAGTAAATATTAAAAGGTGTCGAGGTAGACCGAGACTAACTTTCGAAGACCATGTGAGCAAATTACTCGGAGAGAGGAAGGTCAAGAGTACTCGGATACCTAGACGTGCATGTATCAGGAAGATAATGAACCTGAAAGAAGCGAAAGAGGTATGTAAAGATCGTGACACTTGGCGATCTGTTCTCTCTGGCTACCCCGTTAGGGATTGTGCGTGAAGATAAGTAACAACTGTATTGGTAATGGGAGCACAATCACAACAAGCGACAACCGATGGGGTAAAAAGTCTTGAGTAGCAGCCTCGTACCAATAAGTGAAGTGCAAAACGGCCAATAGAAGGAGTGACGACCTGCAAAAACGGATAGGCAGGACGTCTAAAGATACAAGTGGCTTTAGGTCTTTGTTCAGCAGTGGAGGTATGAATGTCTGTAATGATGACGACGATGATCAAGATTGTAGATATGATTCAAGACTGTTGAATCTGCATTTACTTATTGACGTTAGGATTTTTAAGCAATTGAGAAGTCATACGTTTGTACTAATTAATTCTAAAACATTTATTTATTTATTTATTACACATAACATCATTACAGTTATTAAACCAACGCGATGCTATAACTAACATTAATATAAGAAAACTACTTACTAATAAATAATGATATCTAGTATGAAATCAATCAAATTGATGGCAAAATAAAATACTAATTAAAAACATTACAATTTTCAACACATTTGTATGCAGCAATGCAAATATGTCAAAATCTTGTGAGATGATATTAACATAATATGTAGTGTATAGCACGTGACAATGGTGCATCGTGAAGCAACTTCGTAAAATATTTTGTTATGTATGAAAATAAGAATGGGGCTACAAAGATTTCATTGGATTAAGTTTTAAAATCGTGTAGTGGCGGTGTCATCATCATCATCATCACAGCCCTTCACAAGTCCACTGCTGAACATAGGCCTCCCCCAAGTAAAGCACGGTCCTGAGCCACCTGCATCCATCGACTTCCTGCATATCCTACCAGGTCGTCACTCCATCTAGTGGGGGGTCGCCCTACACTACGCCTACCGGTACGAGGCTGCCACTCGAGAACCTTTCTTCCCCATCGGTTATCGGTTCTTCGAGCTATATGGACGACCCATTGCCCCTTCAGCTTACTAATCCGTTGGGCTATATCGGTTACTCTGGTTTTACTGCGGATATCCTCATTTCTGAGTCTATCACGCAGAGAAACTCCGAGCATAGCCCTCTCCATAGCTCGCTGAGCGACCTTGAGCGTCCTCATACAGCCAGCGGTGCCAGTCTCTGATCCGAGTCATCACTGGCAACACGCACTGGTTGTACACTTTAGTTTTCAGAGATTGAGGTATACCTGACGAGAAGATGTGTCGTAATTTCCCGAACGCTGTCCAGCCGAGTTGAATCCGTCGATCGATTGACGGTGTACCCAAGAACAATCACTACACCTTATCGATCCGTGGGTGTTGTAAGAAGACAAATTGTAACAAACTAGGTGATGGGTAACAATGTCTTTCCATAAGCATCAAGAAAAATAAATACTTGAGGCAATCTATGGGAAGACATGTATTCGGTACCTAGTGGACTTCGGATGGGCCGTAAAGCTGATGATAATGAATTTTGAGAACTATAAAAAAGTAACAAATTACTTCAGAAATATTTTAATACTCTTATCAGAAGACAAAAGATGTATACGTAATAATAAATATAGAATTAATATATACAATGATCCAATTATACGTTCTTTTAACTTAAGTTCTTCAATGTTAAGAAACAACTCGCAAAGAGGTTTCGTTGAAGTCTATGAAATGGTTTTCACGGGCCACGTGCGCATGATAAAGAAATAATGGGCTAATTATCAAATACTAACTATTGTGTTTAAATATATTTTTAATTTGATTTTCATGTCAAATCATGTACTCCTTAAACACCCCCCTATAAGGGAAGGCCTATGTTGAGTTGTGCACTTTTTATAAGCTAGAATGGTTAAAAACCTTTATTTTAAATTATTATTCTACAATTAAAAATTTAAATATTGTTTATGAATCTATTTCTGCTGTAACAATTTATCTTTTAATAATTTACAGGATAGTGATAGTGTTAAATTAATTCGTATATTCCAATTTTTTTTAAACCTAAACAAGTTTAGTTTTTTATATGTGTATTCCATTAAATGTAAACGGTTTTATACTTCTAATACAATATAACTTCTAACTTTAACTTAGTTCACTTACAACTAAAGTAAAATGTGCAATCAATCTGAAGTTTTTTGTTTGAATATCGTAAGTACAATGGTAAGAGAGAAAGCAGCCTTGCTCTAATTAACAAGAACTAAGTTAATAATGATCGAAAATAAACACAACTGGCATTTGTAATTTGTCTCGTATATCCTATGTAAGAACGTCATTCGCGCTCTGTGCAGGTATTTCATTGGTTCCACAGATTTCAGGATATAATCTAAATATTTGAAATTGAACCTTAGGGCAAGTGATGTAAGGATATTATTGCAATTTTCAGGCGATGTAGGATGCAGAATCTGGCAACGCGTTGATGTTGAAAGGCCATAAGCACCTCGGCGTATGTTTTGGAGCTATGGAATAAGATTTCACCGGTGAGTTAGGACGTTCTGGTAATTTTAGGGAGCAGTTATCATGTGGGCGGGTATCGATCGGTGCGCAAGTGCGCGCCTGTTAGCGAGAGAAGCAGAGAAATAAACAGATCTCCATTAGTGGCCGAACCTCCGCACAATGAGCACGTTAACCGTGTTCTTCGTGGGCGCGCTCGCCGTCTTTTACTTCTGCCGTGTACCTGTCACTCACGGTAAGTAGAAAAAGCAAAAATTCTGTATATTAAATTTTGTGCGTGATGACTTTGCGAATTTTTTTCTAGCCAATGCGAGTTTTTAAAGGATGAATGCTTTTAAAAAGCGCGCTGAGGGGATCCCATTCGAGGGCCTGACACCTGTTACACGCTGTTTCTGTTTAATAATGACGCCGCCGTTTATTTTTCATGCGAAAGTTATTCACAAAATATTTTGTTAATCATGATTTAACAAAAATATTATTTTATTATTAAATATTTGAACAATACATGTGTATATTATTAAAAAAATAGTTAGAATTGCTATAAGCAGAATAAACAGCCAGCTTGAATTTTATTATATTATAAATTATCTATACACATATAAAAATATAAAAACTGAAACTAACATAAACTAACTAACATAAAAACAACAATAACTAACTATCTGAACTTAACAGTCATTTTCGCGCGATGCCGAACATTCATAACAATTTAAAAAGTTAAATAAAAATATTTAATAAAATTAAATGTCCATGACAACATATAAAATAATATTCCTTTCATTAACTAATGAAAACAATTTCTGTCTGTATGTCTTTCTATCCGGGTTTATCTCCGAAAAATAGAACCAATTGTAATGAAATTTCACGAATAGATAGAAAGCAATGCCAGGAGTAATTTAGTTGATATTTTATCAAAAATTTTGGAGATTTTCCTAAAAAAAAGTGGTAAATTGATAATATATATATGGTCTCTGATTATTTTTAATATAAATAACACACGTTTGTTGTAATTTAAATAAAATAAATAAAACTAGTTTTTACGTATTTTATCGCGTATATTAACTTATTTTTATATCCCCGATGTTTGGAGTTTTAAATTGGACTCTGAAAGATATAAAATCTTAAAAATTCACGGTACCTGCGGGATAACTATAAGCATTAAGATTTATTTATTATTTTTTATTCGAAAACTCTACCTCCACACTAGAATTTTCTCCGTTTCTATAGTTTAAAGTTTTTTAACCCCTCAATCCCTATAAAAATCCCATTCAGTCGCATGCGCCCGGCAAATCCCGAGCGGTCGCATGCGACCGCACCCACCCACAGCATATAAAATCGTTAAAACTTATATTTAGAGACTACTTTTCTATGAAGAAGTTTGGCATTATAATATTTATACAAAATTCTCTATATAAAAATCAGGTTTTACTTCATTACAAAAATACTATTGTATTTTGATAAAAAAAACATACCAAGTGAATGTCGGCAGCGTGAAAATCACAATTATTTCAATTATATTTTGCTCGAAATTATTAGCGTAAAAAAAAAATTCCCCCGGTCGCGGCCCCAAAACGGCTTTATATAGGCCTTTTCCATCAAAACATCTAGATTGTTCCAGCAAATACCGGTTCCGACCGACAAGATGTAGAAAATTCGAGCGTGGAGGTTTCTAGAAAGCTTAGTTTTTCTATTCGATATTAGATGGCGCTAGTGGGAGAGTTCTAGAAAGATATTGACATTCCTATTTCTACCGCTTGACACGAGATGGCGCTAATAATCACCTGCCACATACCGGGCTTAAGTGTGGCGCCCAACACTGCCCCCTCCTAAGACATGCTCGTCCCGAGCATTATCGACCCAATAGTAACGCGCCAGTCGATTCACATGGACGATCTTAGGAGTACATCTTGCACCTTTCTGATGGTCGCATGCGACCGCACCCACCCACAGCACTTAAAATCATTAAAACTTATATTTAGAGACTACTTTTCTATGAAGAAGTTTGGCATTATAATATCTATACAAAATTCTCTATATAAAAATCAGGTTTTACTTCATTACAAAAATACTATTGTATTTTGATAACAAAAACAAAACATACCAAGTGATGACAGGAGCGTGAAAATTACAATTATTTCAATTATATTTTGCTCGAAATTATTAGCGTAGAAAGAAAAATTCCCCCGGTCGCGGCCCCAAAACGGCATTATATAGGCCTTTTCATCAAAATATCTAGATTGTTCCAGCAAATACCGGTCCCGACCGACAAGATGTAGAAAATTGGAGCGTGGAGTTTTCTAGAAAGCGTAGTTCTTCTATTCGATACTAGATGGCGCTAGCGAGAGAGTTCTAGAAATATATTGACATTCCTATTTCTGCCGCGTGATACCAGATGGCGCTAATAATCACCTGCCACATACCGGGCTCAAGTGTAGCGCGCAACACTGCCCCCTCCTATGACATGCTCGTCCCGAGCATTATCGACCCAATAGTAACGCGCCAGTCGATTCACATGGACGATTTTCGGAGTACATCTTGCACCTTTCTGACGGTCGCATGCGACCGCACCCACTCACAGCACTTAAAACCATTAAAACTTATATTTAGAGACTACTTTTCTATGAAGAAGTTTGGCATTATAATATCTATACAAAATTCTCTGTATAAAAATCAGGTTTTACTTCATTACAAAAATACTATTGTATTTTGATATCAAAAACAAAACATACCAAGTGATGTCAGGAGCGTGAAAATCACAATTATTTCAATTATATTTTGCTCGAAATTATTAGCGTAAAAAGAAAAATTCCCCCCGGTCGCGGCCCCCAAACGGCTTTATATAGGCCTTTTCCATCAAAACATCTAGATTGTTCCAGCAAATACCGGTACCGACCGACAAGATGTAGAAAATTGGAGCGTGGAGTTTTCTAGAAAGCATAGTTCTTCTATTCGATACTAGATGGCGCTAGTGGGAGAGTTCTAGAAAGATATTGACATTCCTATTTCTGCCGCGTGATACCAGATGGCGCTAATAATCATCTGCCACATACCGGGCTTAAGTGTGGCGCGCAACACTGTCCCCTCCTAAGACATGCTCGTCCAGAGCATTACCGACCCAATAGTAATGCGCCAGTTAATCCACATGGACGATCTTAGGAGTACATCTTGCACCTTTCTGTGTTCGATAGGTTACGTCGTTGATCCTGGTCACAATCCGGTACGGGCCATCCCATTTAATTTGAAGCTTAGGAGATTGCTCTTGTGCGCCCCGCACCTGCTCTTTCAAACGACGGACCTGATCCTCCTGTCGGCGGGCCTGTTCATCGTGTCCGCCCCGCAGCTTCTCTTCCAACCGATGGACCTGTTCCTCCTGTTGGCGGGCATGTTCATCCTGTCCACCCCGCAGCTGCTCTTCCTACCGACGGACCTGTTCCTCCTGTCGGCGAGCCTGCTCATGCAGCATCACCATCAGAGCACAAGTCAGGTGCTGCAGATGTAGCAGCTACTGACGGGCCTGCAGCCGGCAGCTGGCCTTTCGACGTCTGCGGCGTTGCACCACCAAATCTTCTTTGGTCCATCTCCTGCTGGCGTTGACTTCGGGTACGGAAACCCTCCGTTTCCTCCATAGGTAAAATCGGTATGATTTAATGCCACTTCTGACACCAATTGTTACGAGCTTGGGGTTCGTGACAGTAAAAACTGCCGATTGAATTACCAAACATTAACACTTTTATTACCGAACACCAATTAAAACTTAAAACACTAATTAATCACACTGATTCACTTTATTTCGCTCCGAAGCTTCGCTTGTCTCGCCAAATTCAATACTGCCCCGACCGCGTCTTGCAGCGCCTTTAAATACACATTTTTCACTGAAAAATCCAAAATATTCAATTAAATACGGGCGCCAACCGACCAGGCGCAGAAAGTTCGAGTGTGGGGCTTTTAGAAAGCTTAATTCTTCTGTTCGATACTAAATGGCGCTGTTGGTCGAAAGTCAAGATTGACATTTTCTAGGAAGCCCTCCTCACTCTGGTCCCCGACACTAGATGGCGCTAGTGCCGGGTATATGACGTCAACTTAGGCGCGCAACAATATTTTATAATAACTAATTAGAATCTTGATAGATTAGGTCTGCAGACGAACAGATGATATCTGCTCTGGAGCGAATGCTTGGGGTACTCTATGACGATGATGAAGCTTGAAGTTTCCGAAGGTTGTTGATGGCGTGTTCAGATCACGTCGGGGTCACCAGTTTGGCGGTGGAAGGAAAAGGGGAAATCTCCCACAGGGCGAGGTGACCTGCCCGGGGAGCGGCCAATGCTCCGATTGGTAGTTCGGAGCTATTCTATATATACTGTTTTTGATTCGGAACTTTGATAGCGCGATTTAAGCTTCGATGTGTTTTGCTTGTGGCGCGACGACAGCGCCGCCACAGGCCTTTATTGTTTTTTGATTAGCATAGTAAGGAAATTTTGTGTATATTAGTTCGTATTGGGGTCTAATGAGTTGGATTTTTAATATTTTGTAATGTACAAATTACATAACTTGAAAATGTAATTTTTTGTTTATGGAGGTATCGCTTGAAAATTAGCATCAAATTAAAGGTCTTAATGTAAGAACACTATTAATACAAAAAATCAAGTACATAGGACATATAGTTTAAGGATATAAGTGTAGAGAATATTTGTCATCTAAGCAATTTTCTAAGTTTTTGTTCTAGAGATATTTATGTCGTAAGATTAATCACTTTTATTATGGTTTTATCTTATAGAGTAAGATTTTAGAAATCTTACGATGTATATAATATAAGGATTCCACGGAAATAAAAATAAATAAACACTCCAAGAGTTTCGGCTCGAAGTAAAACTATCATTCAAAAAAGGTAAAATTGCGTGAGCGTCTGTACGGTAACGTCGGCCGGTATAAAAGGCGAGCTGATTTCTGGCTCGAGGCTCGAGGGTAGTCGCAGCGCAGCCGTCGAAGATGCAACAACAAGAGGAAAAAGGGAAGCCGGAACCTGCGGAACAAGAAGAAACCCAGGAAGATTGTTTACTTCCCGGCTGCCCGTCTCTCTCTCAAAATCCCAGTAGGTCGCACTGCACTCGCATATGCATTCAGTGGTGCGTGGGTTGTGTGTCACTAGCAAGTAGAAACGAGCGTACGTCACTCAAGTGGGATATTGTCCCAGGACGACTGTGCGGGCACCGGACGTCTCCCTGCCGTACGAAACAG